CAATTAGAGAGGTTTGTCACGTAAACAAAACGTGCCAATTAGTTACAACTTCAGCCTACCGGTGAGTTGGAGAGTAAATCCACAACATTTATAACTTGATGCACAGATGCGTACGCTATGCGCGTGGCCGACAATCCAGCACTGTGGAGGCGAGGGTTGGTGGACCCACGTGTATGTTGCGAAAATCCCTATCCCTGTGGGTATCGAAAAGACAAATCCTGGCTTTAAATAAAGCAGCGCAACACATTTGGACGAATTTCATCTGTCCCATCAGTATTGGAGGGTTTAGCTGAGTGAAAGGGGGTCAACACCCTCAAATAACCATCAAGAGGGGGCCCCTCCAGAGCTCCCCCTAGTGGATGCCCTTCTGCCAGCTGTAGGCGTGCAACGAAGCAATTGCAGGGCTGCACTTTTACCATTGCAGAGTGGACACACCAGGCTTGTCAACAGCTACGCATTCGAGGCTGCAACCAGCACACGATTACCATCACGTCAGGAGACGTTACTCGATTACTAAGGAAAATACAGGCCCTTGCCACTGTCCCATGTGACGGTACACTGCGATTTTCTTGTACAGTCTTTGGTATCTCTCTTTTGGCGGGCACGGCGTGAGGTGAAACGTACGTGCAGTCCTTTGTCAATCCACCGCTGGATGAGAGACATTAAGTGAGAAATCCACATTTTTATTTAAAGCCTCCAGACATTGCCCACAGTAATCTAAATGCACTGATTAACTCCCTCCCGAAACATTTTGTCCAACTTAGCCGGTCTGATGCACTCAGAACATTCCATAATGCGAGAGCCGAGGTCATTCGAAATAAAGAGGGTAATTATAAATCAGTGGGGGTGTCTATAAATGGATTGCCTGGAGCAGTATATTACCAATGAATCAACATTGGTGTTAAAATTGAAAACATCATATTTGCAATATCTTTTGTGAGTCTGCACTGAGAAAACAACATTTCAAAATAATGTTGGTCCAATGTTGTTCTTCTTCATCTTCTGAAATTTAACCCCAGGTACATGTACGACACATTTGACAATCCAATGCTGGATGAAGGCGTCCTCCCCCCCCACCCTCCCCCCACCGGTGGAGGGTGAGGCGCATAGATGGGGAGCACAAAAGTACAGTCCAACAGCCACCCGCTGACCTAGACTGCCGTGTGGTTCGTACGTTCGCCCACAACCTGGCCACGCAGAAGCCTATAATACCCAGTTGCGCACAGCAGTTTGACCGTACAGTCATACCTCGGTATACGACCGCTTTGGAATACGTCGAATTTGGTATACGTCGTGTTTTGACGAGAAAAAAATGTCTTGTGATAACGACGTCTTGCTTGGGATACGACACGCTTGCTAGAACTTGTATGGGTCGGGATGAGTCACCGCGTACCCGCGTACACCCCGCTCACGACTGAAACAAAGCCCCGCTCCACAGTCTGCCTGTGCAAGTAGATCTCGTTCAGTGCACAACCCTTGCTATATTTTTATTCTAATTTATGTATGCATTTATTTTAATCTATGTATGCATTTTAGTAATAAGTAGTGTCTACATTATGTTATACAACCCCATTAATGTACAATATGCCATATAAAATATAATTTCTTATACTCTGGAACGGATGAATTCCTTTCCCTTTATATCTCATGGGAAAAATTCGTTTGGCAGACGTCACTTTCGGGTATAAGTCCTCCTACCTTCTGGAACGAATTACCGATGTATACCGAGGTACCACTGTACATCCTTGTGAGATAGAGTACGACTGTGGAGGGCCTTCTCGTCAGGAAAGCCTCTCGAGTCACGGACAAATGTGCACGAGACCAAGTGAAAACCGAGGAGAACCTGTTGCCTTGTGGGTAAAACTTAAGACACAAACTAGACGATGCAGCATTTCCGATGTGAAAAGTCAATCCACGGTACAAGTTCGGCCATCGCCAGAGCTAGGCTTCATCTTCATCAACCATTCTCTATCCACCGCTAGATAATAACTTTTTAACCCAGGAAAGTTACACCGAGTCAGAGGTGTTTTGGTTGTAGGAAGGCCATGCTTCGGGATGCATGGCCCACATCAATTACACTGCATGTGATTCGCTATCAGAGAAAACCCGAGAATCCTGGCGACAAAACCCCACGCAGAATACGGGGAAAACATAGCAATTGCACAAAGGTGCCAGAGTTAGGAATCTAATGCAGGTGTATCCTGCAGCGAGGCACCAGTGTTGGCACTGTGCTACCCTCATGCCGTAGAATGAAGGCCATCCGGCGCCTCGTGACTCGTGTTGAACGAGGGAAGGATAGCCACACTTTAACCCACCACACGCGACCTGCCGGCCCCCTGTAGTGAACCCATTCATAGTGCTGGGAGGACTGAAGCGTGGGAGGGGGGGGGGAATAATAAACTTCACTATTGTTTCAGATGCCGCGCCGGGAGATAAAACTGACAGCCTCTCGATTGCACGTCCAGGATACACCGTGGCTAAGGGCCCACATTACACCATGCAATACATTCCGACCGAGTTCAATCCACTGCTGTATTAAACAAAGCAAAGATACAGCCCACGCACCGGTGTCGGCCACTATTTGACCAAATACTTCATGCACCACGCTGACGAACGCGGGTTGGCAAGAGCCGTCCCTAGGGTACCCGGCGCGACCGCCCCGGGCCCCGCGCTTGGGGGGGGGGGGGGGCGGCGGCACGCTTTCGACGCCACAGTGTCAGCAGATGTAATAATTGCGGTTTAGTTTTAAAGCGTGTGGGGGGAGGGCGCACATTGGGATTTTCCCTGGGCCCCGACCATTCCCGCCTAATGCAGGTTTGGTGAAGGGGAGACCCCAAACCAGCCTCGGTTCAGCTAAACACCACCCACCGATGTTTAACACGTAGGCTTTCGCGACCAATATCATCCACGCAGTTTATTTTGGTTTAGAGACCATAACACAAACGACCGTTTGTGTTATGGTCTCTAAACGTCGTGATAATTTTTATTGTTTTATATATTTTATTATTTTATTGTTTCCCTTCAACGTGACTTTACCGAAAGAACTAAGAATATTAATTACTGCAGTCACGAAAGCTTTAAATCAAAATTTAGCTTCATCTAATTGTAATTACAACTGGTTGAAGCTATATTCTTGGTTCTTTCGGTAAAGTCACGTAGCTAGCTGTAATTAGTTGTGAAACGTTGTCCTCGGATTGTAAATGTTGTGGCTTCACAACTAGCATCTGCTAGTTGTAATAACAACCAGTTCAGGCTAGTTGATGGAGCTAGCTGTAATTCATGGCGAAACGTCGCAATCAGATTGTAAATATCGTGGTTTTGCTCTCCAACACACTACCGGTGTGTGCTGTTACCAGAAACGTTTCATCACCCACCGATGTTCGCCGTGGCCAGGATTCGAACTCGGGTCGCCGACGTTCAGGACGCAGCGTGTGCGCTCACTGCTCCCGCCTCAAGCCCAACAACAACAACAATATTGCATCACGATTCTTTTTGAACGGGAATTCCACGGTGCTGTGGGCCGGTGGAGTCAAACCCAGCGGCGGTCTGGTTTAAGGCGACGCTTCTTGGTCGGAGACAAGAACTCGGGTTCTCATCATCACGGGTTCTCATCATCATCACGGGTTCTCATCATCATCACGGGTTCTCATCAGCATCACGGGTTCTCATCAGCATCACGGGTTCTCATCATCATCGCGGGTTCTCATCATCATCGCGGGTTCTCATCACCATCACGGGTTCTCATCACCATCACGGGTTCTCATCATCATCACGGGTTCTCATCATGAGTTCTCCACACGGGTTCTCATCAGCATCACGGGTTCTCATCACGGGTTCTCATCAGCATCACGGGTTCTCATCACGGGTTCTCATCAGCATCACGGGTTCTCATCGCGGGTTCTCATCAAGGGTTCTCATCAAGGGTTCTCATCGCGGGTTCTCATCACCATCACGGGTTCTCATAATCATCACGGGTTCTCATCACGGGTTCTCATCAGCATCACGGGTTCTCATCGCGGGTTCTCATCAAGGGTTCTCATCAAGGGTTCTCATCGCGGGTTCTCATCACCATCACGGGTTCTCATAATCATCACGGGTTCTCATCACGGGTTCTCATCAGCATCACGGGTTCTCTTCACGGGTTCTCATCGCGGGTTCTCATCACGGGTTCTCATCATCATCACAGGTTCTCATCATCATCACAGGTTCTCATCATCATCACGGGTTCTCATCGCGGGTTCTCATCAGCATCACGGGTTCTCATCATCATCACGGGTTCTCATCAGCATCACGGGTTCTCATCAGCATCACGGGTTCTCATCACGGGTTCTCATCAGCATCACGGGTTCTCATCATCATCACAGGTTCTCATCATCATCACGGGTTCTCATCAGCATCACAACGCAGCCGTGCGCCTTCATCTCCTCACAACCGACACAATTATAGCCACGCAATGTCCGTGTGCTGTGTGTGGTGTGTGTGTGCTGTGTGTGGTGTGTGCTGTGTGTGGTGTGTGTGTGTGGGTGTGTGTGGTGTGTGTATTCCACATTGCTATGGCCGGGGCCAAGTTCTTCCCACCCATCCATGTCACGCACGAGATTCCTCGCTCGCAATTCCACGCCTTGGGCCTACCACGGCGCCAGGCGATATTTTATTAAGATTATTATTTTTCTTCTCAACATATCGACGTATCAAGCGAACACAAGCCAAACATAAACGTTTTTTTTTTACACAGCACACAAACCTGCGATGCGTGCGTCTTAAAATCGTCAGGAATTACGAATTAACACAAAACAAAAAAATCACCTCCACGAGCGGCCGCAAGCAACGCGAAACAATAAAGACGACGCCGTGCCCGTCGTGAGGGGGGATAGCGGGGATTTAAATAAATAAAGTTTTAACACGTTCGAGTGGTGGATCAGCGAACGCCCTTCGATAGCGCGGCGCGCGAGGCGGCACGAACGTGTACAAATGTAAGTTTTGATCGAAATGTTTTTCACCTGATTTCTGTTCGCCTCAGAGCGTGAAAAGTAGCGCCGCCTGAAACGCTTCCCCAGTCGCGACCCCGGGGGGGTGGGTGGGTGGTGGGTGGGTGGGGGGGGTTGGGGGTCGCCTCTTCCCGTTTGCTAAATTTGGACCCCCCTCCCCTCCTCTTCCTCCACGTCCTCGCGGCACACCCGCGTGCGTTGAAGAGGGCTGGCTTGCGCATGCGCAGTTAACGCGAGCGAGGGTTTATTTAGCGGCGGGGGAGGGGGCACAGATGTGGCATGGCAAGTGGCCAAGGGTTGGTTGTTTAAAGGGGACGCGTCCGTGATGTTGTCGGTGCAGGGCCAATCACAAACCGCCATCACCAGCGGTCACGTTCTATCCACTGCTGGATGATGAACACCCAAGCCCACACATCATCACCAAGCAGTCACGTTCTATCCACTGCTGGATGATGAACACCCAAGCCCACACAGCATCACCAAGCAGTCACGGTCTATCCACTGCTGGATGATGAACACCCAAGCCCACACATCATCACCAAGCAGTCACGGTCTATCCACTGCTGGATGATGAACACCCAAGCCCACACACCATCACCAGCAGTCACGTTCTATCCACTGCTAGATGATGAACACCCAAGCCCACACATCATCACCAAGTAGTCACGTTCTATCCACTGCTGGATGAAGAACACCCAAGCCCACACATCATCACCACCAGTCACGGTCTATCCACTGCTGGATGATGAACACCCAACCCACACATCATCACCAAGCAGTCACGTTCTATCCACTGCTGGATGATGAACACAGCCCACACATCATCACCAGCAGTCACGGTCTATCCACTGCTGGATGATGAACACAGCCCACACATCATCACCAAGTAGTCACGGTCTATCCACTGCTGGATGATGAACACCCAAGCCCACACATCACCAGCAGTCACGTTCTATCCACTGCTGGATGAAGAACACCCAACCCACACATCATCACCACCAGCAGCAGTCACGTTCTATCCACTGCTGGATGATGAACACCCAAGCCCACACATCATCACCACCAGTCACGGTCTATCCACTGCTAGATGATGAACACCCAAGCCCACACATCATCACCAGCAGTCACGGTCTATCCACTGCTGGATGATGAACACCCAAGCCCACACATCATCACCAAGCAGTCACGGTCTATCCACTGCTGGATGATGAACACCCAAGCCCACACATCATCACCACCAGTCACGGTCTATCCACTGCTGGATGATGAACACCCAAGCCCACACATCATCACCACCAGTCACGGTCTATCCACTGCTGGATGATGAAACACCCAAGCCCACACATCATCACCAAGCAGTCACGTTCTATCCACTGCTAGATGATGAACACAGCCCACACATCATCACCAGGCAGTCACGTTCTATCCACTGCTGGATGATGAACACAGCCCACACAGCATCACCAGCAGTCACGTTCTATCCACTGCTGGATGATGAACACCCAAGCCCACACATCATCACCAAGCAGTCACGTTCTATCCACTGCTAGATGATGAACACAGCCCACACATCATCACCAGGCAGTCACGTTCTATCCACTGCTGGATGATGAACACAGCCCACACAGCATCACCAGCAGTCACGTTCTATCCACTGCTGGATGATGAACACCCAAGCCCACACATCATCACCACCAGCAGTCACGGTCTATCCACTGCTGGATGATGAACACCCAAGCCCACACAGCATCACCACCAGTCACGGTCTATCCACTGCTGGATGATGAACACCCAAGCCCACACATCATCACCAGCGGTCACGTTCTATCCACTGCTGGATGATGAACACCCAAGCCCACACATCATCACCACCAGTCACGGTCTATCCACTGCTGGATGATGAACACCCAAGCCCACACATCATCACCACCAGTCACGGTCTATCCACTGCTGGATGATGAACACCAAGCCCACACACCATCACCAAACAGTCACAGTCTATCCACTGCTGGATGATGAACACCCAAGCCCACACATCATCACCAAACAGTCACGTTCTATCCACTGCTGGATGATGAACACCCAAGCCCACACATCATCACCACCAGTGACGTTCTATCCACTGCTGGATGATGAACACCCAAGCCCACACATCATCACCAAACAGTCACGTTCTATCCACTGCTGGATGATGAACACCCAAGCCCATACACCATCACCAAGCAGCAGTCACGGTCTATCCACTGCTGGATGAAGGCCTCCCCATAGTGTGAGTGAAATGTGGGGCAATTAAAACATTGGCACGCGTGCGAACGTAGAAGCCGCACGGCAACCTTCGGTGAGGGCGTGGCCTAGATCTTGCCCACGTGTGCCGTCAACTCTGCCGCAGCAGAGGAGGACCCCTGCGGAAGTGTTTGGCGCACTTTGGCCTACTCTTCCTTGCGTGCCGATCAGCGGTCTCGCAGGAGGCGAGCAATAGCCACACTTCACCACATGGCACGCAGCGACCGGGCCAACCACGGTTTTAACATGCATTGTAGAGGTTTTTGCGTGTGTGTGTGTGTGGGTTAGATGGCGTATAAATATGTATATATATAAATGTGTCGTTCAACCCGCCACCGCCCGACACAGCCAATTAGTGAGGGGTTTGTCACGTGCCGATTCGTTACCCTCACAGCACGCGCCGCTGTGTTGGAGAGTGAACCCACAACGTGCTGGGTCCACGTCGCCGGCGGAACCGGGTGACGTCACTCCACATGCCGCACCCCTCCCCAATAACCATTAGCGGGTGACGTCACTCCACATGGGGGCGACTCCCCCTCATTAATAATCATGAGCGGGTGACGTCACTCCACATGGAGTAACCCCACCCCCCGCCCCCAATTAATAATCATGAGCAGGTGACGTCACTGCACATGGAGTAACCCCACCCCCACATTTAATAATCATGAGCGGGTGACGTCACTCCACATGGGGCAACCCCCCCTCATTAATGATCATGAGCGGGTGACGTCACTCCACATGGGGCAACCCCCCCCCTCATTAATAATCATGAGCGGGTGACGTCACTCCACATGGAGTAACCCCACCCCCTCATTAATAATCATGAGCGGGTGACGTCACTCCACATGATGGCAACCCCCCCTCACCCACACCCCTCATTAATAATCACGAGCTGAACAATTTTTCTATTCAATATTTCAGACTCACTGTAATATACAGTACAACCTTTCCTTGGACGGGGGCGGGGGGGCAAAACAAACCAAAAGCTAGTATTTAAAATATTTTCTGAAATTAGCAATATTCGTTTCAACTGCCGCGCCGGGAGATAAACATCCAACCGGCGTGCTGCGTGTGGTGGTTGCCGACCGTTTAACAGCCCCCGGGGGCAGGTCTCCTGCCTTCGCTGCAACATCAACGACAACAACGACAACATCAACGACAACAACGAAAACACAACAGGTGAACAATGTTCTTCGTTTTGAGTTAAAGCTTTCGCGACTGCAGGGATTCATATTCCTGGTTTCCTTCGGCAAAGTCACGTGGAAGGGAAACAATAAAATAATAAAAACAATTGTACGTTGAAGGGAAACTAATAAAATATATATTTTATTATTTTGATAATAATATGCACTGTCTTTTTTGTTTGCATTTTGACTGCTTGTGTTGTGGTTATTGCAAACATGATGCCTTGAATAAAGGTGTCAGTTTTTGTGCCAGTTAAAAGGGTAAAACCTATTCCTATATATTGTTTCTGGCAAAGGAGGTCTCATAAAGAGATCATACTCGTTGGTTCTTCCCGTAAATTCACGTAGGTATAACATCAAATAAATCACGACGTTTCGGGCGCAACACAAGCGTCCGTGAACAGGTGGGAGGGCATGGCCTGCTGCTGATGCCTCACTGTTTTTAAATAGTTTGAAATGGGTGTAGCCGCAAGGGTCTTAAAGAAGTGGCCGGGGCTAGTGATGTTTACGTGAGAGATTAGCATGTAACTGTGAACTCGAACAGTGGTACAATCCAAAGGAACTAAAGTAGAACTCAACGGGTGCAATCCAAATGGCTTGTGAGTATGAGGACACAATGCAGAGTTTTTGGTTTTTTGGCTTAGGTCACGTAAAATAGAAACGCGTCGTTAGAGCTCCCTCCCCCGACCCCTACTGATGATGCTGCTTGTCGTTGTAAATAACCGGCGAAACGTGACGACATTCGAATTGTAAAATGTTGCAGTGGATTTTAAATTTCGATTTCAGGCTTTCGTGACTGCAGAGATTCATTCTCTTGCGGTGGGTTCGCCCTGGAAGAAACCGGTTCGTGCTGTGCTCGGAACGGTTTGGCCACGTTTCGTTGACGTGACAGACCTTGCTAATTGGCCCGTCACGTTTATATTGACGCGATCGAGCCCCATTAAAAAAAAATCCTCGATTGTAAAGCCGAGGGCGATTAAGGGGGTCAGCAAAAGAATCGCTCACACACGCTCCGTGTCATTGGCTGAGTCGACCTAGGGGAGGCCCGGTTCAGATATTCACCACTGTTTCTCGTCGAACTCGGGGTGGTCACTTGGTTCACCGAAGCGCAGTGCGCTACCGTATATGATGGGGCGCTATCGCTCCCCCATATATACAGGGTGGCCCAAAAGTTATGACACAGGGTTATTTAATTTATTTTAATACTGGCATTAACGCATGCTCACTCTGTATTTTTTTAAAGATAATATTGTGTCTATCATAATTATTAATATCTACAAAGTGTCTTCTTTCTGTGGGGTCACATTGATCGGTCGTTTACAAAACTCAACAAAGAACCTTGAATGATTTGAAACGAAATATAATTGATGAACGTTCAAAGATGACACCTCTGGCATCTTTACACCTGTGATGTTTCACCTGCGATGTTACACCTGCGATGTTTACACGTGCGATGTTTACACGTGCGATGTTTACACGTGCGATGTTACACCTGCGATGGTTACACCTGCGATGTTTACACGTGCGATGTTTACACGTGCGATGGTTACACCTGCGATGGTTACACCTGCGATGTTACACCTGTGATGTTTACACCTGCGATGTTTACACCTGCGATGTTTACACCTGCGATGTTTACACCTGTGATGTTTACACCTGCGATGTTTACACCTTGATGTTACACCTGTGATGTTACACCTGTGATGTTTACACCTGTGATGTTACACCTGCGATGTTACACCTGTGATGTTACACCTACGATGTTTACACCTGTGATGTTACACCTGTGATGTTACACCTGTGATGTTACACCTGTGATGTTTACACCTGTGATGTTACACCTGTGATGTTACACCTGTGATGTTTACACCTGTGATGTTACACCTGTGATGTTTACACCTGTGATGTTTACACCTGTGATGTTACACCTGTGATGTTTACACCTGTGATGTTACACCTGTGATGTTTCACCTGCGATGTTACACCTGTGATGTTTACACCTGCGATGTTTACACCTGTGATGTTACACCTGCGATGTTTACACCTTGATGTTACACCTGTGATGTTACACCTACGATGTTTACACCTGTGATGTTTACACCTGTGATGTTTACACCTGTGATGTTACACCTGCGATGTTTACACCTGTGATGTTTACACCTGTGATGGTTACACCTGCGATGTTACACCTGTGATGTTACACCTGTGATGTTTACACCTGTGATGTTTACACCTGCGATGTTTACACCTGTGATGTTACACCTGCGATGTTTACACCTGCGATGTTTACACCTGTGATGTTACACCTGTGATGTTACACCTGCGATGTTACACCTGTGATGTTTACACCTGCGATGGTTACACCTGTGATGTTACACCTGTGATGTTTACACCTGTGATGTTTACACCTGTGATGTTACACCTGTGATGTTTACACCTGCGATGTTACACCTGCGATGTTTACACCTTGATGTTACACCTGCGATGTTTACACCTGTGATGTTACACCTGTGATGTTTACACCTGTGATGTTTACACCTGTGATGTTTACACCTGTGATGTTACACCTGTGATGTTACACCTGCGATGTTTACACCTGTGATGTTTACACCTGTGATGTTACACCTGTGATGTTTACACCTGCGATGTTTACACCTGTGATGTTTACACCTGTGATGTTACACCTGTGATGTTACACCTGTGATGTTACACCTGCGATGGTTACACCTGCGATGTTTACACCTGCGATGTTTACACCTGTGATGTTACACCTACGATGTTTACACCTGTGATGTTTACACCTGTGATGTTTACACCTGTGATGTTTACACCTGCGATGTTTACACCTGTGATGTTACACCTGTGATGTTTACACCTGTGATGTTTACACCTGTGATGTTTACACCTGTGATGTTACACCTACGATGTTTACACCTGCGATGTTACACCTGTGATGTTTACACCTGCGATGTTACACCTGTGATGTTTACACCTGCGATGTTACACCTGTGATGTTACACCTGTGATGTTACACCTGCGATGTTTACACCTGTGATGTTACACCTGTGATGTTTACACCTGGCGTCTTTTAAAAAGTTCTAAGATTAATTTAAATAGAGATATCATGCATGCATTCATGTAAATGGACGTCACTTTTAACCTTTGTTAAAATAAATATAACAAACCAATGTGATTAGTTAAAATAAATATATTATCCCTGTGTCCTGACTTTTGGGCCATGCTGCATATAACACGAACAAAACAAAGGTCTCCCGGGAAGCCTTAACAGACTGTAGGGGCAAGTGCTGTTAGCCAGCACCTATGAAGGCCGGCATGGCACACGAGGAGGTGGGTGACCAGCACCACGCCCAGACGCCTTTGTCTCCCCAGTGGCGATGTTTACACACCACTACACCAGGTACTCATTTGAGGCTGAGTCATCCTAGGGGAGGCCCAGGACCGGTCCAAATGATCGTCACCGGTGTTGACCGTGAGCGGAAATCGAACTCGGGTCGCCGGGTTCGTAACCGCTACACGAACCGCTCCCCAACGTAAAACGTCTCTCACACGCGTGCGTGCGTGCGTGCGCGTGCATTGGGCGGACATGGTTCTGAGCACCGCATTTCCCCTGCGATAATGAAGGAACCAGGTTGCCCATTAGCGTCGACCAAGACATCATCGTCGCCAAAAGTCCACGTTGGCCGAAGCATCACGTCTCAATTCGTGCATCCATGGCTGCGACTCCCACTTCATCGATGGCGAGGCAGTTCCATTGATGGTGAGGCAGTTTCATGGATGGCGAGGCAGTTTCATCGATGGCGAGGCAGTTTCATCTCTGGCGAGGCAGTTTCATCGATGGCGAGGCAGTTTCATCGATGGCGAGGCAGTTTCATTGATGACGAGGCAGTGTCATCGATGGCGAGGCAGTTTCATCGATGACGAGGCAGTTTCCTCGATGGCGAGGCAGTTTCATTGATGACGAGGCAGTTTCATCGATGGCGAGGCAGTTTCATCGATGACGAGGCAGTTTCCTCGATGGCGAGGCAGTTTCATTGATGACGAGGCAGTTTCATCGATGGCGAGGCAGTTTCATCGATGGCGAGGCAGTTTCATCGATGGCGAGGCAGTTTCATGGATGGCGAGGCAGTCCCATCGATGGCGAGGCAGTTTCTTCGATGGCGAGGCAGTTTCATCGATGGCGAGGCAGTTTCATGGATGGCGAGGCAGTTTCATTGATGGCGAGGCAGTTTCATCGATGGCGAGGCAGTTCCATCGATGGCGAGGCAGTTTCATTGATGTCGAGGCAGTTTCATCTCTGGCGAGGCAGTTTCATCGATGGCGAGGCAGTTTCATCTCTGGCGAGGCAGTGTCATCGATGGCGAGGCAGTTTCATCGATGACGAGGCAGTTTCATCGATGGCGAGGCAGTTTCATCGATGGCGAGGCAGTTTCATCGATGGCGAGGCAGTTTCATGGATGGCGAGGCAGTTTCATCGATGGCGAGGCAGTTTCATCGATGGCGAGGCAGTTTCATGGATGGCGAGGCAGTCCCATCGATGGCGAGGCAGTTTCTTCGATGGCGAGGCAGTTTCATCGATGGCGAGGCAGTTTCATTGATGGCGAGGCAGTTTCATTGATGGCGAGGCAGTTTCATCGATGGCGAGGCAGTTCCATCGATGGCGAGGCAGTTTCATTGATGTCGAGGCAGTTTCATCTCTGGCGAGGCAGTTTCATCGATGGCGAGGCAGTTTCATCTCTGGCGAGGCAGTGTCATCGATGGCGAGGCAGTTTCATCGATGACGAGGCAGTTTCATCGATGGCGAGGCAGTTTCATCGATGGCAAGGCAGTTTCATCGATGACGAGGCAGTTTCATCGATGACGAGGCAGTTTCACCGATGGCGAGGCAGTTTCATTGATGGCGAGGCAGTTTCATTGATGGCGAGGCAGTTTCATCTCTGGCGAGGCAGTTTCATGGATGGCGAGGCAGTTTCATTG